TTAATGGATTCCACTCTCCGATTTTTTTCACAACTAAACAAATTATTTTCAGTCGTATTTGAAGTAGGACATTTTAAGTGTTATAATTATAAATTGAGAATAGTTTCTTGATTTGACACTGGCAAAAATATACTTGTATGAGTCCGTTACTAAAGGAAAAAATTAACTAAACCATAGATGACGTATATTAGAGGATTGAATTGACTGATGTAGGGGTGTCCACTTGAAAATATATCGCTAGAAAACATCGATATTTTTTCACTTTCGAATACTTTCTACAAAAGTTTAATATAACCTTTTTCAGTGAAACATGCTAAATTTGTGGTACTGGTCTCCTCCAAGAGATGTGTGAATATAGAATCAGAGACCAGAGTATTATAGCAGCATATGTTGCATTTTACAAAGTTTTCATTTCCCTCAATTTTTGTCGAAACTTTCCATGCATGACTTTTTATTGGAGGCGCCATCTTGTAATTACCTAAAAAAAAAGAACAAATTAATTAATGATAATTTTTTTCTATAATTTTATTTTGTGTCTGTAGTGTCACATTACAATTGAGTTAATTTGTTTACAGGTTTAAAAACTAATTAAAAATACATTTAATAAGTTATTTGATGCAATACACGTAAGTAGTGCTACATAATATATCGAACAACTACTTACTTCATTATAATGATATAACAATTATAAGAATGATAAAGGAAATATACTTATTATTATGAAATATATTATAATATAAAATATCATTATGTTATATTATCTTAAATATAAAACACTGTCACAAACGAGTAGAGGTTAGGTTCATAAACATAATAAAAATATAATAAAATTACATACCTTTTCAACTTCGAACTATCAATCAGATGATATGTCAACTCAGTTATTTTAGAGTAATTATTTGTAGTAGCAAATAAAAGTCTTACATAAACTTTTCTTAGATAAACAATCAAAAAATGATTTAATTGCGTTACAGCCAAACAACAGAAGACGATGCAAGAAGAGTGAGTGAATGAAAGTAAATATAATGAACCTATAGATAGCACAGAATACATTACATTGTGAGTGAATGGTCGATCGATCTGTCAGGATAGATTAGGTAATTAAGCTCAAGTAAAATTATTTCGGGTTTTAATAGTTCCGGCAAAAAAAAATAAAAAGCAAGTATTCGATGTTTCTATAAATAAATACATATATCAATATTTCGAATACAATAAATATTTGTCGAAACATCTAATCATCGAATCGATATATCGATGTCATGTGAATATCCCTAGACCCCTAGACCTAGACTCAGTGTAGCCACCTTAGTGGATTTTCCACTAAATCTCGTGGTTTGGAACACCCTTTAAGTGGCAAATTTTTGCTTTTAGTGGCTAGTGGTTTTTTTAGCGGATTAGGAATTTTAAAAGTAACGTTGCCTACACATAAGATAGATATCTTTACTCAAAATATTCGTGACTATTTGGACCAAAGATGCTACCTGGGATTCCGATTCGAAAAACAGATTCAAGAAATGAAAGAGAAAGGTTTTCCACGGGAAGAGGAAGAAGTATTGCGGAATAGGTGCATACAGTTTATAGGTTGTCTGATTGACGAAATAAAAAACAGATTGCCGGAAAATATTACTCTCATGAAACAAATATCCCGTATAAGTCTCGAAAAAGCCCTGCATCACAACAAAGAAAATCTGGTTGATATAATGACTCGGTTCGTAACAAGTACAGAATTAATTGCAAAAATTGACGATCAATGGCAGCAAATTCATTTACTGAGATGGAATGAAACAAAAGATACAAAAAAATTTTGGAGCAAAGTCTTGAAATTCAAAGATGCATAAGGTGTTGCTCGATTTCAAGAATTAGCAACATTTGCGATTACACTTTTGGTATTGACACATTCGAATGCCGATTAGGAAAGACTTTTTAGTAGCATGAATATTATAAAAAAAGAAGCAGCGAAACAGAATGAAGCTAACTCTTTTGAAATCAATTCTAAAAATACGCTGCGGTATACAGTTAATGGGAAAGTGCTACAACAATTACGAAATTCCTTTAAATCTTATAAAACAAATTGGGACGAAGGAGTCATATCAGTCTGATAAGGATAACAGTAAGGCTGAAATGAAAATGCAAATTCATCTGAAGACGATTTATTAACCTCTCGAGCGCCCGGCCACCGTTTTACGGTGGACTGTTTTACCCCCGATAAGCGCCCATCGACCGTTATACGGTGGTGACGTAGTTGTCTCAAATAATATTAAAATGAAAAGCCGAAACAATGTTTGGCTCTTTCTAACGTATACTATATTGAAGCTAATGAAACGTTTAACAGATTTAATACACAAGCACGCATAGTTTCGACGATTGTTAAAACAAACAATCAGCTAAACTTGTCAGTAGGTGATGTCATATCGCTTTGGACGCTTAGTTAACTTCGAGCTGTAAATTTATTGTGTTGTAATTTGAGTATCACAAGAAGAAAGTTTTTGGTAAATAGCTAAGGTTATTCATAATATATCGTAATATTATTTTCATTATAGTTTTGCTACCACGAACTTGTTTTACAGTATTTAAATTAGACCATCTGCCTAGCCAAACAAAACTGTTGCAAAAATCGTTTTAGATTTTAAGATATATGAAATATTTCTGCTAAAATGTTTCTCCTAATGGGAGAAATTATCATGAACTATTGTTATACCTTAAAAAAAGATATACACAGTGCTTAAAATAAATCTAAATAACAAAATTATAAGAGGATGTCTCGAATAACCGTGATACGGTGGCGGGACGCCCCGAATTCTGAATTCATAATGGCGGCGAAATATAAATTTACAAATGAACATAGAAGTCGTGGAGACGCTATATATATATATATATATATATATATATATATATATATATATATATATATATATATATATACCTACTGTAAGGATGCTTAGTGTTTTAAATTGTTTTCAGATTTAGCTATATAGCGGGATAAGACATATAGTGTGACAGTACTTCAATATGTCGTAAGTACTTCAATGTGATATTTTAACAAGTTGTACTTGCGTTTATAAAGTAAATATATTTGAAATTAAAATTTTACCATGTTTCTCAGGATTTGAATGCCGTAAACGCACCCGCGTTTATTGCCCATATTGCAATGTGACTTTGTGCCCGTTTACTTGCTTTGCGCAACATCACGCCACTAAATAATAATTTTAATTTTAATTTCTCAATTCGACCCGTATGTTTTTGTCTTTTTTTATAATTTTTTTCTAATTTTTGTTTTATTATTATTTTACAATTTATCCAACTTTGCCACTCTTTCATTTTCGTCAAGTTGACCCATAAAAACCATTTAAAAAAAATTAAAAAATATTTTTCACCATTAACAAATTAAACTAAACATAAAATGTAAGTGTGTGTGTATGCCGTGGTAGCTCAGTGGTTAACGCTCGCTTTAAATATAACAGAACGCGAGTAACCCGGGTTCGATCCCCGCCGGCACCAATGAAATTGTTAATTGTAATTTTAAGTGCTCATTTACCACGTGCTCGGCGGTGAAGGAAAACATCGTGAGGAAACCTGCATGTCTGAGGAATAAGAGAAAAAAAATATTTCGAAGACATGTGAAGTTCGTCAACACGCATTTGGGCAGCGCGGCGGACATTTCCTTGCCCTAAACCCTCTCAGAAATGAGAGGAGGCCTGAGCCCAGCAGTGAGACGTATATAGACTGTAACTTTACCTTACTTTACTTTTTATAAAAATGTAAAAAATAAAAACACCGATGAATTTAATATATTAATATATGCCTTTACAAATAAATATAAAATATTCGACGAAAGACGACTCTATACATTTTATGTCCTTAATTCTCAGTTTGGTTCGAAATTTCGTCAATGTTTTTAGTTGATTTTAATAACTCTAGCAAATCATTAGAAATATGTGTTTATGTTTATTCATTTCATATTCAGTATAGTTATTGACAAAACAATTCATTTATAAAATTATCAAACCGTTTATTTTTTACAGCCTTATCTTTAGCAGTGGTATTTTTTGTGGATTTTTTTTTTGTTTCGTGAGATTATAGAAAATCTGACTACTTAAAACACGCGATGTATTATAAAAGAAACTCGTTAACAAGTTGAGCATAATAGGGGACCACAAAAAATATTTTAAGTGGCTAATCAAGGCCAAAAATGGCTTTGAACTCACATCTGTTGCAAGGATATTATTTTGCTTTCGCAACTTCGCTTTCAAATCTATTTCTTTGACTAATTTTGTGAGAAGAGGATGATTTTACCTATTTATATTAATAAAATAACTAATAAATAACATTATAAGACCTTTTATAATGGTATTAATGATTCATATTGATTTTTAAATGCATTTTTCTACAAATATGTGTATACGTTTACACATTTGTGTGATTAGACCGCTTGAAATATTTTCACTTGCTATTAGAATTAGTTAATTTTATATACATAATAAAGCAAATTTCATGCAGATTCTGAATATATATACATTGATTAGTGTTCATAAATGAATTTACGTCAAAATCAGCATTTAAACGTTGACCGCCAACTTAAATTCATACGCAAAATTTGGCCGGGGCGCTTGTCGACTTTATGACGTTTGACGTTTGGGCGCTCGAGAGGTTAATGTAAATAATATCTTAAGCAACTTGATGTTTTTAAGTACTAAAAGTAAAAAAATTATATTAACAACAATAAGATTTTTAATAATAAACGTAATTTTACTTTTTTTTTTTTGCTTTAATCATATTCATATATCTTAGTGGAAATTTTAGTGGTTTTCAGAGGGGACATCTTTTTGTTAGTGATTTTCTGGTGGTTTGAGGAGCCTTGTCTGGCGGATTGCTATTTCATCCGTTGGCAACACTGCCTAGACTGATGACACGTCAGGTGTAATGTAATCTATGGCTTATTCGTGGATAGCGGTGATGATTTTTAATTATTGCAGTTTTATTAATCAAAATTATTAATAATAATGGGTGGACAAAAGTTTGAGTATGATGAAAGTGGGTCTACTTTCTTTTATTTCGTTCTTTCATTCCTCGCCTTAATACTTGTGCCAGCAACTTTTTATTATTGGCCAAGAAAACGAAAGGAAGGTAAGTTTACTTAAAAAGTACACAAAATATTGTAATTTGTTATATAAACATAAGTAATTATGCAGAATTGTCCCTCATGTATGTATAAATTTCTTAGACGTTTGCGTGCAGTGTGTCTAACAAACGATGTTAATTTAAAATATTGTCAACGTGACTATACGGTACTTTTCTATCTCTAAGGGCGCTTTCAATTTAGACGTTTCGTGTAAGACCGCTGCCGCACGTTTACCGTGCCGATAGTTATAACCCGTTGCCAAGCTGCTGCAATACGTTAGCAGTCTGCCGTGCGTTTGTATGCTAGTGATGTTTTAAATAAATTAGATAGCAGTTAAGCCATAGACTCTGTCAGAGAAACATTACTGTTAGTGCTCTTGTTGAAAAACATACAAAAGCAACAAAAAAAAACCACCACCGTAAAAGAGCATAACAGATGTTTTCGTTAACATGTAATTTTGGTGATTTCCATAATCTTTATCCTAGATTAAAACAAGATTAAAGCAAATTTTTTAATTACCTAAGAATGTCTAGAGAATGTTTTGATGAATTACTTGAATTAATTAAAAGTAAAATTCAGCAGCAAGAAACTAATTTCAAACATATTACATCAGCTGAATTTCATCTATAAATTCCTCCACGCTTATATCATCCATGAGCAAATTATTCAATAGTGAAATGAACACATAGAGTTTGAAAAATTGTCGTCCTGCTGTCGAGTGTTTGCCATACCGACACCGCACTGTTGCAGCACTGCATGCTTTGTATGAAAACTAATGACCATCTATGTGCAATACGACAAACGCACCGCTTTGTGGTCTGAAATGAAATATTTATATTGAAAGTGCCCTAACTGTTGTGTGTATTGTTGGACAGAAATTTTTATTTAACCTCTTTTTCAGATCCTGTGAAGCAAGCAGAACGTTGTCAATGTCCAAATTGTATAAAAAAGCAGCAAATTATTGAACAATCACAGCCATACAAGAGCCTCAAAAATCTTTTTATTAAATTAGCTATAATCTCAGGATGGGTACTTCTTGGTTTCTTAGCATATAAAGTGTCACAGTTTGACTATGAAATGTCCAATTTTGATCCTTATGACATACTTGGTTTGCCACCTGGAGCTACTCAGGCTGAAATTAAAAGATCATATCGTAAGCAATCTCTCATACTCCACCCGGACAAAGAAACTGGTGATGAAAAAGCTTTCATGAGACTCACTAAAGCATATCAAGTAAGTTATTATGAAGCACTTATTTGGATTTATGATTTTCTTGTTTACTTTTTATTGAAAAAATTAAAAACCAACCAACTGATGTGGGTATGAAATTGTTATTGTTTTTCAGGCACTTACAGATGAAGAAGCACGTAGAAATTGGGAGAAATATGGTAATCCAGATGGCCCTGGCGCTATGAGCTTTGGTATTGCATTGCCTAGCTGGATTGTTGAAAAAGAAAATAGTGTGTGGGTGCTTGGTTTATATGCACTTGTATTTATGATTGCTCTACCTACAGCTGTAAGTAAGCTCAGTTTTTTTTAAATAATTAGGAGCACCTCTACTCCTGTCTTGTATTTGTCATTATTACATTAAATTAAAATATTTGCATTATTCTTATTCTCACTCAACATTTTATGTTTTGTGAACTCATTTTTCATCCTCTCTAAGTAACTGTTTTTATCTTGTTATTATGATGTGGTGCAAACAGAAGTATGCAATTGCATTAGTAATTAGAATAAGTTTGAAAGAGCAAGAGCACTATTTAAATAATAACTTCACAATGCTTAAGATTTCTTAACCTTACGAATGTAATTATTCAGTTCACAACATTAAGCTGATTATTATTTTTCTTATTTAATGTTGATCTTGAATCTCGAATGATCGTTGATATTAGAATAAGTTGATTTTAATATTCCATATCCATATTCACTTTCAATAATACTACAGATATAGAATTTGTTTTGGTTTTGGTTTATTACTGTGTCAGTGAATGTACTAATCTGGGGGCACGGTAGTGCACCCGCCAAGTCGAGCAACAAAAAAGCTGCACAGTTGTACCATCCTTTTCTCAAAGCAATTCAGACCATTTTCGACCCACTATAACTTCATTGTAAATAAAACTAGAAACCTGAATTTTTAGTAACGAAGAAAGCATTGTATAGACAAATATATATTTCAAATTCTCTTTAAGAATTATAACTAGTCAAAGTTTCTTAATTTTGTCACTCACTGACTGACCGATCATCAAAACTCTAAGACACCTAGCAGACATAGAAGCTTCAAATTTATAATACAATTCGTTTTTAGTGTATAAATCAAGGGATAACTAAAATATTTTGCAATTTTGGTCCAGTTTTCTAGATCTGCATAAATAAATTTGTAATCCCATATAAACATATAGGATTATAAAGTTACATTTGTAGTGAATGAATCAGTGTACCCATATATGTATAATATCATCATCATCATTACAGTCCTTCACAAGTCCACTGCTGAACGTAGACCTCCCCCAAGCAATGCCACAAAGCACGGTCCTGAGCCACCTGCATCCATCGACTTCCTACATGTCTTACCAGGTCGTCACTTCATCTAGTGGGGGGTCGCCCTACACTACGCCTACCGGTACGAGGCTGCCACTCGAGAACCTTTCTTCCCCATCGGTTATTGGTTCTTCGAGCTATATGGCCGGCCCATTGCCACTTCAACTTACTAACCCGTTGGGCTATATCGGTCACTCTGGTTTTACTGCGGATATCCTCATTTCTGAGTCTATCACGCAGAGAAACTCCGAGCATAGCCCTCTCCATAGCTCGCTGAACGACCTTGAGCGTCCTCATACGGCCAGCAGTGAACGTGTCTCAGATCCGTAAGTCATCACTGGCAACACGCACTGGTTGTACACTTTAGTTTTCAGAGATTGAGGTATACCTGATGAGAAGATGTGTCGTAATTTCCCGAACGCTGCCCAGCCGAGTTGAATCCGTCGATTGACCTCTCGGTCGAAGTTGGACTTACCTAGTTGGACTATTTGTCCCAGGTAAACGTACTCGTCAACAACTTCGAGCATAGTGCTCCCAACAACTACCGGCATAGGCGTGACATGGACATTAAACATGATCTTTGTTTTGTCCATGTTCATCTTAAGACCTATCCATTGGGAGACACTATTGAGGTCGTTGAGCATAGTGCTAAGGTCCTCCAGCGATTCTGCCATAAAGACTATATCGTCGGCAAATCGAAGGTGAGTGATGTACTCGCCATTAATGTTAATACCGTATCCTTTCCAGTCCAGTAGCTTGAAAACGTCTTCCAACGCAGCAGTGAAGAGTTTCGGGGATATAACGTCACCCTGTCTTACACCTCTGCAGTTGGATAGGTTTCGAACTCTGATTCTGTACTTGGATAGCCATCGTAGCCCTACTGTACAAACACTTCAGCACTTCGATATACCGACAGTCAACTTGGCACCGCTGAAGGGACTGTAGAACCGCCCAAATTTCGACGGAATCAAAGGCTTTCTCATAGTCCACATAGGCCAGGCAAAGTGGCAGATTGTACTCTTCGGTCTTCTGTACAATCTGCCGCAGGGTATGTATGTGGTCTATGTTACTGAAGCCTTTTCGGAAACCGGCTTGTTCGGGAGGCTGGAAGTCATCGAGTCTGCGTGCGAGACGATTCGTAATGACTCTCGAAAACAGCACGTAGACGCGGCTCAGAAGGGAAATCGGTCTGTAGTTCTTCAAGAGAGCGTTGTCGCCTTTCTTAAAGAACAAGACCACCGCACTTCTGCTCCACGCCTCTGGAGTAGTGCCACCATGGAGGACGGAATTGAAGAGCTTCTGAAGGACTTCAAGTACCGGTGTTCCACCCGCTTTCAGAAGCTCCGCTGTAATTCCATCCTCACCTGGGGCCCTGCCATTTTTAAGGTGCTGGAGAGCCATTCTAATCTCGCTCAGACTGACGTCCGGGATATCATCGGAATAGTGTCGGGTAAGACTTGCTCTTGGATCGTTACTCACACTTGCATGTGGCTCCAACGATGATGTGTACAGCTGCCCATAGAACCTCTCAATCTCACTCAAAATCTCAGGTGTCCTGGAAACGATGCTGCCACACTAGGTCTTCAGCTTTGACAGTTGGCTCTTTCTGGCTGACAGATCTCTGACAAAGACTTTGGAGCCCTGGTTCCGCTCGATCGCTTCCTTAATACGAGCAGTATTATAGTTGCGTAAGTCTCGCCGCATGCATTTGGAGATCTGTCTGTTCAGTTGCCTGTATGCTGTCAAATCTGTTGACGATTGCAGTTTTGTTGTCATCTCCCGTCTAACAGCCATGAGATTAAGAGTGTGATCGGAGAGTTTTTGTGTTCTTCTGCGGCGGGTCTTGCAGAACTTAGCTCCGACCGCATGGACAGTCTCCACGAGCTTGTCATTCATATCGTCCACTGCATTACAATCTTCTAGGCACTGAAAGCGGTTACATAACTCGAGCTGAAAGGTTTCGGGATACTGGATTAGAGCACGAGGGGGACGGAGCGTTGACTTCATTAGACGAGACCTCTCCAACTTAACGTTTAGGTTCAGTGTGCCTCTAACCATTCGGTGATCGCTGCCGGTTTTCACCCTTGCGATCACTTAGACATCACTGAACAGTTGGCGTCTGGTCGTCATAATGAAGTCAGTCTCATTTTTTGTCGAACCGTCGGGGCTCGACCAGGGCCTGTGGCCTGTGGGGCCGCTTCTGGAAGAAAGAGTTCATCATAAAGAGTCCCTCTTTCTCCATAAAGCCAGCCAGCTGCTGGCCCCTACGGTTCCGTTGCCCTACTCCAAATTTCCCTAACTTCAGCTCACCGCCTTCTCTTGTGCCTAGTTTTGCGTTGAAGTCTCCCATCAACACCGTGTAGTGGGTTTTGGAGGAATGTATGGCTCTAGAAATATCCTCATACATTTCCTCCACCTCCTCATCGGGATGTGCCGAGATTTGTGCGTAGACCTGTATGACCTTCAGCGAATACCGTTTGGTGATTCTAAGTATCAGGTACGCGACCCTCGTCGACACACTCCCAATCTTTACAACGTTGTTGACGAGAGACTTGTGGACGATAAATCCGACACCTCCTTGGGACAAATGGTCGCCCTCCCGGTGATAGAACAAGTTGCCGGACTCGAGGATTACGGTGTCCTCCCCCTCTCTTCGGACCTCAGATAATCCAATAATATGCCAGCACAACTTGTCTACCTCTTCTTCCAGCTCCAGTATCTTCTCGTCAGTCCTCAGGGTGCGTGCGTTATACGTTGCCAGGTCGATTCGTCGTAGGTGGCAACCGAACCTCCACCGGAGATTCTTAGCACCCCTTGCCCCGCCGTAACCATGTTCGCCACCGTAGCCAGGAATAGCGGGGCCGCCGGGGACTGGGGGCCGTTTGTTTGCGTTGTTGCTCATGGGGGGATATTTGCCAATATGTATAATATAGTATTACGGAATAATAGGTGTGGTTAGGTACGTTGTTGGTATTCAAGAAGTAGAAGGTACCGGAAAGGAAAAAAAGTTGGACTATCTACAAAAAGAAATGAGATGCCATCAAAAACATAACTTGTAAAAAAAAACAAGTCTTGCAACTCAGTTCTTCTACTGTAAAAAGTTGTGAGATCCATGTAATACCAAGTCGGTTAATTTATTCAGTCCCTACTTAAGGGTGGGTCCTTCTTTCCTAAGTTATTACGTACTTAGCTAACCCTACAACATCTTATAGTAACCATATCAATATTAAAAATCTTTTAAGTTTTAAATAAATAGATTGACTTGGCAATCACACTAAACAATCTAATTTAATATAATATGTATTACTTGTGAGATACATTGTGTTTACATGCGATGGCTAAGTCAATCTATTTATTTAAAACTAAAAGATTTTTAATAATGATATGGTCACTATAAGATGTTTTTGGGTTAGCTAAGTACGAAATACAGAACTGAGTTGCGAGCTTGGTTTTTTTTACAACGTACAAAACCGTAAACCGGACAGAAAGTACGTACGTACGACGTACGTACTTTCTGTCCGGTCTTTCGAGAAAGTTCCGGATCCTGTACCTTCATTTGTTTTGAAACCATCGATGAAAATTCTGAGTTCCTTTGGGTTTAAACCCTCTGGCTGATTAGTTTAATTTAATTGTGTCTTAAATTTCTTATTAAATACAACGGTTTAGGGATCTTATCATATCTGGATTGTAAGATAGGAATTTCGGAGTGAATTCTGTCTGAATAATTATGTATATAAATTTATAATTTTTTTTATTTTTAGGTTGGTACCTGGTGGTATCGCTCAATACGATATTCAGGAGAACAGGTGTTGTTGGATACAACACAAATGTACTTCTATTTTTGCCACAAAACTCCTTCAATGCCTCTCAAGCGTGCACTAATGATTCTTGCAGCATCTTGTGAATTCGATCGAAGGCATAACTCTGAAATTATTGAGAGGATAACAGACAATGAGGAAGTTCCCGCTGTAAGAAAGTTTCTTATTCTTAATAGATTTAACAAACTTTAAGGTGTTTGGAATTTATATTATAATAATTATGGCAAAACATGTATCGTATTATCGATGGTGGTGTGTCTTTTCTAGTATAGTGGTGTTGTGAGTAGTGGTGCTGTGATTAGTACTGATGGAAATAGCGCATGCAACTGATTGATAGATGGGTGTGATTATAGGGATGGGATGGGGATTGATAGATGGGTGTGAATTCCTGAAGTTGAACCTCCAGATGTTTTCAGTATTTTGTTATACACTTAGCTGAGAAATTATCCGTAGCTTTTAGAAAATGATTCCAAACTGACGTTTTTGTTTGTGATAGTTTTTTATGCTTTTTGTATACAACTTTATCTTTTTCTAAAATATTCTATTAGGCAAAGAAAATATTTTTTTGGTAACTACTTAAGTATAGGAGCTGGCATCGAATTGGGCTCAATGTCCAACACTAAAGTAACAAACAACACTCAGCGAGTTTTTCCTCTATAACTAACAAACAATATATTACTAACAAAATAACCACATTGATTCTGCACAAAGATGTAGAACTAAAGATCAACAGAATTTATAGTAGTAGTAAGTACAGAAGACCCACTTCGCGAAAATATTTAGGGAGGCACGCAACAAATTCCAATTTAGCTCTATCGAGTGCTTTATACCCTAACCTAATGTTTTGTCATTTCATAGACCAAATAGGTACCTAACTAGACTCTTACCGTACATGGTACCATTTCGCCTTTATTATGGATGGAGACACAAAGGGTACCTATAGGTGCGTAAGTAAGTAGCTAAGTAGCGGACACACGCAATTTGGTCTACACGCGACAATCAACTAAAAAAAGAAGACCCGGCTTTATTCAAGTCCTTCTAATTTAGTAATGCAATGACTGTACTTACCAATTTTGTCACCTTCCGTTGGATGAGTTACTCTGCCTGCACTCACCAAACTAAACAAATATCTCGCACAAATATTAGTATCAACGCATGCGTATCTGTCACCATTGCGTGGATTACTCCGGCGGAACCACCTCTTTTATCTGGGCTTGGGTTCGGCTGCACCAAAAATCACAGGTAGAGTTTCAGAGCAGTAGACTTTTAATGGGTTTTCTTTTCTATGAGAAAACTTGCTGCAATTACTTTAAATTAGTAGTAACTTGAAATGTTGATGCTTTTCTGGATATTTTACTTCTTGTTTATATATGAAATATCTGTATGAACATCTTCTAGAGGCATTAAAATTTTCGACTAGTTCATTTAGTCGCCTCTTGTGACCTATAAGAGGAGATATGGTGTTGATTTCTCACGCCCACCAACATAGTAATTTTGATATTAGATGTAATTAGGAGAACTTATAAAAGTTGACAACTTACACGTTACGTTACTTACACCTTACGTTACAGCTATTGCGGGAACTACCAAACCTCGGCGAGAAAAATAAGGAGCAGCCACTATGTCGACCGTATAGTATAAAAGCGCGTGCACTTCTGCATGCACATTTGTCACGTATGCGGCTGCCGCCAGACACACTTGAATGTGATAGACGTTATGTGGTTTCGCGCTGTCCCGATCTCATCGTCGAGATGGTTAACTGTGTTAACCAACTTATCGCACTTGCTTATGCTAGAAGAAGTAAGTTTTACATTATTTTAGTTCTAAAAGTTAAAATCACAGCCTATATGTTGCATTTCTTTGCGTATTTTATTGCATTTAGCAAGAGGAGTGCTTTGCAGGATTGTTCGGACTAATTCCAGCCGCACATCGCGACAAAATTCGCGATACTGTCCATACTATCTGAATGACTGGCGGTCCACCCCTGTGCGATTTAAAAGAAGTTTTCTTCCTCGTGCAACTTCCTTGTGGAATCTACGACCACCAAAGATTTTTCCGGACCGATACAACATAGGAACCTTCAAGAAAAAAGCCTACTTCTTTTTAAAAAGCCGGCAACGCAACTGCAATTCCCCTGGTATTGCAGTTGTTCATGGGCGGCGGTAATCACTTACGATCAAGTGAGCCGTATGCTTGTTTACCCTCTCTTCTATAAAAAAAATGTCCCACTACTGAGCATACGCCTACTCTATATTCTCAGAGAGTTATGGAGTAATTTTAAAATATTTTTATTTGGTATTAATCAAAATTATTTCTTTGTAATGAAATCTCCTAATTTAATACATTGAAATGCAAGCTTATTAAATTTAAGCCAGTGCAAATTCAGAACCAGAAATTTACCCATCAGTCTCTGCTGCCACTACTATGCAAGATATACAAGAAATATGTCAATCATAACAGCTGGATGATTATTTAAGAAAAATACACTTTTTGTATGAAAGACAATAAGGTTTTTGCCTTTAATCTAATACAGTCAGTTCAACTATAGACTTAAAGTTACAGCCTATATACGTCCCACTCTTGGGCACAAACCTCCGCTCATTTCTGAGAGGGTTTTAGGGCAAGGATATGTCCGCCGCGCTGCCTCTTATATATTACTATAGACTTAATAACAACTATTAAATCAAATGTAGTTAAAAATATTGAATTGTATTTGTCGATTCAAAGAAAGCCTTTAATACTGTAAGTCACGCCTTACTTCTTAAAAAAACAGCATATATTGGCATTGCAGACACTGCAAACAAAATTATACAATATCACCTTACAAGTAGACATCAAATTATTACAATTGGCAGTTGGCATAGTAATATTGAGACATTACACACTTAACATTGGACCAGTTTGTTCCTAATTTATGTAAACAACATCCACCAATCAGGTTTACATGGTCACCTTACACTTTACGCAGATGACAGATGCCTATTTTATTTTGGAAAAGATGTTCATTAAGTTATCGAACTAGCTCAAGAGATATGCTTACAGTAGAATAATGGCTTGAACTTAATAATTTACAAAGCGAAAAATAAGAAAATGCTTTTTCACAACAACCTAAAAGTCCGACGTAAAACTGATGATGAAAACTATTTGGGATTGACATTTGATGCATCTCTGATGGGGTTCACTGTATAATATCTTCTGATGTATCCGATGAAAAGCAAATCTATTGATATATAACTCACAGGTCAAACCTCCATTTACTTTACTTCATTAAACAATGGGCAGCGCAAATAAAACTAATTTGAAAGTAATACAGACTACAAAACAAATAAGTTAAACTTTAAAAATTTTACCATTATGACTTTCTAATACCATCCAAAATAACAAAAACAGACCAGAATGATGAACGTCAAATAACTATACATATACGGTACATGCATACTAATATACAAAATCACTCACATACTCGTGCACTCGCCCTTAAATCTCATAACGAAAGGTAAAATAAATAAATACGCTTCATGTCATGCAAATCATCTCGTTTTACATCATGTTAAAACAAATTATGGAGAAAATGCTTAAAAGTTTGTGGGAGCACTACTTTTTTTTACTTTAAAAAACTTATTTATATAATAAATTATTCTACCCTTTTTTAATATGTAATTAATACTTAAATTGTATACGTAATATTATTCATTTGTTCATAATGTTATAATTAAAATGAAAAAAGTTGTTTTAACTTGGACCATCGCCTTATAACAACCCAATAAAATTGCATCTTGTAACTGTTATGAATAAAATTGTTCTACCCGCCCCAGGTTTATTGTCAAGCGCTTACTTTGCATGTTTTTTCTTTTTATATAAGAGATTTCTTAATGAGAAATAATTTTCTATAAACCGAAGTTTAAAAATAGAAATTCATTTTTTGGAGTATGGTAGTCATTATAATATTAATTCTTTAACATTTTCTTTTTCAGTTCCTCGTTTACCTACTATAGAAACAATTGAAAACTGCATGAAACTATCACCAATGATAGTTCAGGCCCTCTGGGAGTACAAATCACCACTACTTCAGCTGCCATACATTACAGAAGATCACCTAAAATATTTTACAAACCGCAAAAAACATATAAAGTCACTACTTCAATTAGCACAGTTGTCCGGTGAAGATAGGCGACAAATACTGAGGTTCCTAAATGATAAACAGTATGAGGATGTTGTGAAAGTTTTGGGAAATATGCCATATATACATTTCCAAGTCAACACTGAAGGTTATTATAAATATCTATCTTTTGTTGTTACATTACCTTACATGTAAAATTTGTGAATATTAAAAAGTAACACTTCCATGTTTTTTTTTTTGTCTCAAGCATTAAATGAATTTGTATTGATGATGATGATAATTTCTTAATATAAATGTTGGACAACTAGTTTTAAAAGCATTTCAAAAGATCACATAATGTAATATACACATATACTAGTTTTGGTTAAATTAAATACAATTTCGGAGATAATACGTTATTTTGTATAATCTGTAATGTTGAAGTTACAATCAAAATTATTGCAGTTATCGACGATGAAAATTCTACAGTAGTGACAGCTGGCGCAATAGTTACTGTGACAGTGTCGCTCCGGAGAACCAATATGAAGGAACTCTTTGGAGATACAACTTTAAAAGAAAAGGAAACTATAAAGTGAGTTGCTTAAACTTTTAACAAATACGGAATTATAACAAATAACGATTTCAACAGTGACTAAATATCATGGGTTATTTGATATATTTATTATATAAAGAATCATGTCCAGTCTTGACCTGAAAATTTTCTAACGCGTCTAGTGATGTAAAATATCTTATAAAGTTATATTTTTTTTTATTTCGTATCGCATTTCGAATTTTCAAATAAAGCCAGGGAAAAAAAGTAATGTTACTTTTCTCAATAGACTTTTAGAGACGGAACGTGTTTTACAATAGCTCGAAGGCCTAGAAGCCATGCGAAAATATATTAAAAACGTGTTTTACATGTTCCGTTTCAAACTACGAAAAACTTGTTCATTCGTCATGTGGTTAATGAATTTTCGAAATAACCAATTTCTTTTTTTATAACTTATTAAATTATGATTAGACACGATTTTTAATGGTTTTAGACTATGGTGTGGAAAGAAAAATAAGTGTAGACTTTATCTGACAGCTGTTATAACGTCAAAATTTTATTTATTTAAATAGCATTTTTCCCTGGCCTCTAAATAAAAAGGTGATAAGTTATTATGTTATTATAAACAATAATTGTTTTTGTACAACAGTAGTTAGTACGACCTGTTAAAGGAATCAAGTGACAGGTCAACCAATATATGGAAAGTGGGTATACTTTGGGGTACAAGTTGCGTGGACTTAACTTGTTATTGAAGTATTGCAACTCATGGGATGATAGGAAAGTAAAACGGTTAACTAGTTGCAGTAAAGCTATAAAACGGTTAACTAGTTGCTGTGAAGCTATTTCTAATCTGATTGAATGAAACTAGTTTTTGCCGAGAGCTATCGTTTACGTAGTGACAAACTGCAGACTTTCTGGAGCGTTGATTCTTCACATCAGCTATGTATTCATTTACATGGGCTTAATTGATCTTATAGTCTCATGTAAGTGATTAATGTGATTATGTGATTAACTATGACATTGGGATGTCGAACATCTCAGCCCCAAGTACGAAATGTTGGTAATTTAAAATAAATTAACCCCTCAATTCCAATAAAAAACCCATGCAGTCGCATGCGCCCGGCAAATCCCGAGCGGTCGCATGCGGCCGCACTCACCCGCAGCATTTAAAACCATTAGAACTTATATTTAGATATTACTTTTCTATAAATAAATTTGGCATTATAAAATCTATACAAAATGCTCTATATAATAGTCAGGTTTTACTTCATTACAAAAATACTATTGTATTTTGATGACAAAAACAAAACATACCAAGCGAATGTCGGCAGCGTGAAAATCACAATTATTTCAATATATATTACTCGAAATTATTTACGTAAAAAGAAAAATTATATTCACACAGACTCATTACAATTTTATAATAAAATACTATACTAAAACAATAATAAAACACTAGAAAAATCCAAAAATCAACACAATAACATTCACGCGAAAATGACGTACGAAATGAACGTAGATTATAAATTTATAAATAAATATGCATAGGATAACTTGACTTTTTATTGCACGAGAGGATAGAAAATTTCACATTGATTCTATAATGCCAAACTTCTTCATAGAAAAAGTTTTAATGGTTGAAAGTGTTGTGGGTGGGTGTGTGCGGTCGAATCCGATCGCTTGGATTTTGACGGAATAGCGCCGCGGTTGGATTCGCCCGCTTGGGGACTGAGAGGAATAAACACGATAAAATTCATAAAAACTATAGTTTTATTCAATGTATAGCGTTCACGTGATCATAAGAAGTCGTTATTCCTAGTCTGGTTTATTTTTCCATTCCAGTGTAGCCATTTAACGTTTAAAATTTAATTAACAGGGAAAATGAGGAAGGTGGTGGTGGTGAAAATGGTGAAAAGGTTGAAAACGACAAAAATGAAAAGAATGATAAAAAAGATACATTTAAAAGACCAGTTTGGATGAAACAAGCCAAAAAACAAACGAAAAAATCAAAGAAGACGGCGACAAATAAACAGCAGCTAGTAAAACCTGCACCTGTAAATACGGTGGTCACCTCGCCCGTCACTAATGATACCAAGAAAACTAAAGAACCAAAGAAAAAGGACGATGATGGTTAGTATTTATATCATTTATTTAAATTAATATTTAAAAATAATACAATGCATGTGGTAAAAGTAATAAAAAAATATATTGCAAGGTAAGTTCAATTAATAACTTAATAGTAAAAGGCTAAGCTTCTTACATGTTCTTTGCAGCCATGATCTAGCCTAAGTTCTAAAAAGCAAAGTATCGACTTTAAACAAATAGTAGTTGTAGTATACCAATTCACATGGTAGACCCATATCCATTTTCAAAAATAAAGATGGTAAATTTAGGCATCAAAAAACTGTTAGTGATATAATAGAGGGTTGCAAGATGAATATTAAATAATAATGAACTTTTCCTTCAAATGTACAATCTCATTTACGTGAAGACTGTCAAGAAAATGATAAGAAAAATCTATTTTAAAATGTCAAACTCAATCCCAAAGGCTAGTGATAGGTGTTAGTAAGTCATATGACCGAGTATTACCATATATTTTACTTTAATAAACTATACAGCATAGCTATCAGAGGGGTGGCCCACAACTGCCTTAGATTATACTTTCAAAACCGAGTTCAGTATGTTGAAATATAACATAGCATACATACCTAGAAAGAAATATTATTGAAAAAGTAAGATTAAGAAAAGTATCTGTACTAAAATCCCCCATGCCATTAAATTCTATACCGAATACATTACCCATAGATATAATAGCGATGGAAGAATATAACAATAGATTTTTGATTAAGAAATGTTTTTTTATAGGATAGGGTGACAAACGAGCCCACAGTCCACCTGATGGTAAGTGTTTGCTGTGGCCTATAGACATCTACATCCATCCTCGATTACGAATCAAAATGCAGACGCGCTGTCATCCGTGAGGACTTAGATGGAATGCCTCGTTTCCAGTAAAATGGGTCTCCGGTTCTCTACACTCACCATACGAAACACAGTAGCTTTAAGCTACTATTATACGCTGGTATTCTGTGAGAGCGTGGTCCTTCCCTGGTCGAGCCGACCCATTCGTGCTACAACTATACTACCAATATAACTGCCGCATGGCTCTAGCACGTATGCTACTATTAATTAAAGAATATTATGTAAAATTGAAGTAAATAAATAAATATAGTAATATAATGTATACTAAATACTGTAATAATACTTGCAATGTATAAAAATATGTACATAAATATTAGTATTAGAGATAGCTACCTTTACGAAGGTGACACTGAAAGTTCTTAAAAATTCAAAAACTGAACAAACTAGCAAGTTATTCGTTTTATTATATCTTTTAAAATAGTGTCCATTTACTGTGTGTCATCAATACATCCCTGCATCCGATGGAACCACTGAGAAAAGCACTTTGCCCGCTCGTCGTTATGAGTTCCTTCGACGGCATTTTGAAACGCAGCCACTGCTTCCTCGGCGTCCATAAAACTTTTTCCTCGAACCTTTTCCTCCTTTTTCCTCTTTTATTTTCGGAAATAAATGACACTCGCATGGTGCGAGGTCTATAGGGCTGGTGACCGAGTAATATCACGTTTGACGTCGCCAAGTAGTCTATTGTTAACTTGTGATGTGCGACGAGGCGTTGTCGTGGTGAAGGAGGATCCTGCTGGTACTGCGAGGTCGTTTCTCCCGAACTTTTTCCAAGACAAGTGGCAAACAATTGTTAGTGTACCACTCTGCAGTAACTGTTTTTCGATCCTCTAAAACAATTGTTTCGTAATGGCCTGTCGCTCTGAAGAACGAGGCCATCATCTCTTTTCCCATGCTTCGACCTCTCTTCAATTTAGTTGGCAACTCCTCGGTAGGAAACACCTAGACAGCAGACTGTCTCTTAGTTCCAGGATCATAACAATAAATCCAGCTATCGTCACCCGTAAGTATGTTGAAGACAGCATTAGAGTTAAATGTTTAAACCATTTCACGACACCAATCAACACGACGGAGTTTTTGGGCCTCTGTCAAATTATGAGGTATCAACCGGGCACAAAGCTTCCTGACCGCTCTGTTCATGGAGGATTTTGTGCACTTGACTCATACCGATGCCTAAGCTTGTCCGAATCTGCTGACAGTCAGTCTCTATCATACGCCGCACAACACTGATGTTATCTTCAGTCGTCGCTGTAGAAGGCCGTTCCTCACGCAAATCATCGGTGAGATTGTGGCACGAAATGGGGCTTCACCGTGAAAGGCCAATTGAAGTCTATCATTCACATCTTGTTGAATTAAATGATATTGAAAGTCATAAAAAGTCATTGTACGAAAATTTTCTAGCGTTAAATTCATGCTAACTTGACACAGACAATATTCAATTTACCGCCAAATCGTAAACAAATGACAAATTTAATAAAATGCATACACAATAATTTTAGCAAGAAGTTCCATTTACAAAATTTGAACTTATTTTTTTAATATATTGTTTACAAGTGGCCAGTCCTAAAAACTTTCAGTGTCGCCCTCGTATTTCATATTGCTTTACCCTTGTTGGGTGCATGTGCTGTAATATATCACACAAAACCACATGTAAATGCAATAAATGGATAAATATGTAAAGATAATATCTTTCAAGGTTGTGTGTTAGTTGCTCTAAAATGAAAAGGAATTAGATGCAGTGAATTAAGATATAGTTCGTGCCAAATCGATTGAGAAAAACGGACCATTTTTTTTTGCATGGGGAAATGCCTACGCATACCCGCCTCGCGGGGGCAAGGACGGGTTATGTCGGACTCGCACCGACTAAAACCCCATGGTGTTCCACCTTTGTCGCATATTGGCAGGGCTACGGGAACGCTTTCGCACACATCCGCGGCCCTACTAGCGCCTGCCGCCCCATGGCAGCACCTCCTCGGGAGAGGAAAATTCTTCCCCGTTCTCCTTCCCAGGTAAGGCGCACCAGAACACATGGCGCGCCTTCCTCCACGGCCTCCAACTACGTCTGTGCAACAGACGCCCCCGCGTCCGATGCACAAAGGCCATGGGGCCAGGAAAAACGAGCACTTAGAAGTACTAGCCTTCCCGACCCCAGCGGCGGATCTGGTCTATGGCTCCGCCGCCAACCAAGATTCGGCTGTGGAGGGTAGGGAGAGCGGCGCCTCGCAATACCGACAATCCTCTTCCCCCCGCAGCCCCACCACCACCGCATCAACGGTGCGGCCCCGTTTGAGTCGCGAAGGATAGGGCGAGTGGCGCATCGCCATACCAACACTCCTCTTCCTCCGCGACTCCACCTCGGCTGCAGCGGTAGAGGGTGCGCGAGTCCCCACTCGCTGCAGTCCACCAGCACACATCCGAAGTGGGCTCCCCAAGCCCACTCGGAGCGGCCACCTCAGGCCGGCCCTTCACCTCGGGCCAGCCACGTGGGTTCCTCTTTGTTCACCGTGGGAGACCAAGCCACGGCTACTAAGCCCCCCCCGCCACGACAAGGCGGGAACCCGTTCGGGGGGGGGGGAGAAAAACGGACCATGACCTCAGATATGAGCCGAGTGTCAAAAGGCGTAACTTACAAAATCTCAATTTAGATGTGATAACAATATTTAAATATTGATATTATTCACACTTCTAGGTCAGCACATATGTTTTGTTTTTTGTTTCTTAAATAATATTGTCTGTGGTTCGTATAAACATCGTAAAATCTTACGGTACATCGCGAAAAATGTGTTATATTTTATATTTCAATTTATGGTAGGTAACGCAGCAATTCATTTAATAACAGTTTCATATTTAAAAAAAATATTTGAAGCAATATAATCACCATATTGAGCTTTTGCAAATTCATCCATTTGCAAAAGCTCAATATTCATTTCAAAATAAACAAAACGCGCGTTACGTCAGTTCGTTCTAAAAGAAACGTGACAATAGCAGCCAGAGATGCGTTACCTTTTTTTGGGCCGATGATTGCACCGAATTAAAATACAAGTTCTTATATAATATTGAAAATAAAGTTTTATCTTTGAATAAGTACGTACTTATTCTGTGTCGTTATCACTCGAATCTTTATATGTGTTATAAATTAATGCTTTTTGTTGTTAATTGAATAAAGTACTTTATAACAATAGATGATTTTTCTTCTACAGCAATCTTTTACATAACTTTTTAATAATAATTAATAAATATATATTATATCAATCATTATAAAAAAAATAATTATAAAGAAAGTACTACATATAAAAAGTGCCTATATATTGAAGGTTTGTTGCCCCTAGTTAAATGACCGAAAGGTCAATGTCCGTTTTTCTCAATCAATTTGGCACGAACTATAGTCTCGAATTGTAACTGTCCCGTATGACTTTCGAGACCGCATACCATCTTAGCTTTGATCTCATTACATAAGCCTCACAACGACAATATAAAACACAAATAGTACCTATTAGTTGACGTAGAAAGTTGCTACCATTTTCTGAATTTGTCAAATTAGTCTGGAGAGCATCATATGTATTTGAAGTTTAAAGCTGAATTGGTTACAATACAGGTGAAGAGTCGGATTTCGGCAGCTCGGACGAGTCCGGTTCACACAGCTCAGGTTCAGAGGATGAGTCTCGCGACAAGTCGTCTGCGGCCGAGGACGACGACCAGTGGGAACGCTTCCAGAAGCGGATACTGAAACGGGAACGCCTCGAGGGACGCTCCAAAAGCTCGCATCCCGTGCACTGCCCGTACTTCCCACAGGTGTGTTCACTACTGCATATATCACTGCTCGATGGTTTTATTAGTCAACTAACTGGAACTCTACTGCTTGAGTTAATACTGGAATACAACTAAAAGAAAGAGCACCAGGTGTTATTCTGCAATCTTAATCAAGGGTGTGGTAAATTGTGTCAATATAGCGCTATTTATTCGGAATCATTGCGTAAACTCTGTAAGAAAATCTAATCCTTGTTTTTTTTAAATATCCCGGTTTCACAAATACAAAACCTAGCAATTTGTTGAAGATAAAAAAGAATGGGATTTTTGGGCCTGAAGTTAACAAATTGGTTTATATTTTAAAAAATTGGCCATATTTTTCTAAAGTAAAATACAAAACCAAGCTCTTTTCACAATCTAGAATTCGAAAAAAAAAACTATAAAATGAGAAATAAGTTATAAAATCGATTGAACTAATACAATCGATTTTATATTTATTCCGATCCAAAAATTAAAATGGAAAAGCTTCCAAGGTTTCATTATTCAATGTCTGCTTTCTTTGAATTGGATGTTGTGCAGCATCGATTTGTTTGTTGTGGTACAATGCATTTGTCGACTGTCACGACTGAATTAGGCGGTAAATTCGGTAACAGTTTAGTATGGAGCCACCGCTCGTAACTCTTCGAATTCATTTTGTCGTTGCTTTGAACGTCAGCAAAGCATTTGGGACTAAACCTGCTTTATCACCCGCGTGCACTATGACCAAGCGGCTACCTTTAGACAGAGGTTTTTAATGCCTTTGGTGGGACCGTCTGTCCAAGAATGGTGAGACGCATTGGAAGTATCAACGTATTGTTTATCAGTGTAAATGGTAGGTCTTCCTTTCTCTCTATATTTTTTTATCTTTCTCAGATATTCGATTCTTTGAATTTGAAATCCAATTGTGACTGCTCAATTAAAAATTTTCTATTAGTTTCTGTTTTTCTTTCTTCTTAAAACCCAATTTATTTAATATTCGCCTGAGACTTGCTGCAGATCCTTGGAAAAATAGGTCAGCCTCTAACTTTCTTCGTAACTTGTCTATGGGGTAGGCTATTCATTTTTCAGTGTCGTGGAAATTGTAGATGATTCTTTTCACAGAATACTATAATACACAATAGAATGGCTGTCAACCTTATTTTGTACCGAGGTTCGGCGTCGCCGGGAGCACACATACAAGCAATTACGTCGTATTATCACTACTACAAATTTTGATTTCTTAAATTTACGCGAACACTACACATTGAATAAAACTATTATTTACGGATTTTATCGCGTTTAATTACTTTAATTTATTTTTATTATTATCCCGACGTTTCGGGTGCTTTACAGCACCCATGGTCACGGGGGGACTGAGATGTTTGACGTCCCAATGTCATTGTTAGCCCGGCTACCTTCAGTTTTTGAATATTAATTTTTGGTCCGATTTACGCAAAACGAACTTACAGTATCTTGAAGTCTTGCAGTGGTATGCTTGGGTTTGGGTTTAATTTTGTTAATTATAGGATCCCAAGCAGATGGCAGCACCCAACCATCTTCTCTATTGAAATTAGGATGTTTTTTAATTTCAATAGCCTCACGTATCATCCTTGGTAGGAATCGGTGTTCTTTTGCGAGGACTTGTGGTTTATCAAATCTGATGTAATGGTGGGGACGATCCTGAACATGTTCACAGACTGCAGACTTCCCGGAGCGTCGGTGCTTCACGTCAGCTATATGTTCTTTCACGCGGGTTTTTATGGATCTTTTTGTTTGACCTTTGTAAGAGAGACCACATTCACAATCTAACTTGTACACTCCTGCATCTTGTAGAGGGATATTACACTTGACGGATGGTAAAAATTGACTAATCTTCTTCGGCGGCTTGTAGTATGTTTTAATGGAAGCTCGCTTCAAGATGTAGCCAACCTTCTCCTCTACAGGTAACACAGCACACGCTCACCTTCCCCTGACGTAGCGCGGGATCCGAAGCTTGTTGTCTTGCAACACTTGCTTGACGTGCTGAAGTTCGGCGGCCAGATGTTTTCTGTCACAGATCCCTCGTGCTCTCTAAAACAAAGATTTACCCACGGTAGCTAACTGTGAAGGATGATGGTGAGATTCACCATTTAAATATCGGTTGGTATGGGTCTTTTTTCTATACACAGTGTGACCAATAGTGTTATCAGGATTTCGAATGACTAAAACATCTAGGAAAGCTAAAGAATTATTTGCCTCTAACTCCATTGTGAATTGTATTTTAGAGTTTATAGAGTTAAGGTGGTCTAAAAATGCAGTTACTTTGTCAGATGGTAAAATTGTGAAAGTGTCTACGTACCGCTTGTAGAATCTTGGATTTACGATTGGATTTTACGGATTTAAGTTGTTACGAACGGTGATTCAGCAGAAACGGTTCGATTTACATGTCATAAACAACACCATAGACAATTTGTCCAGTGAACTAAAGACAGTTTTAACGACAATTGATTTTAATAATTGCATCGAAACTTTAAACAAACTAGAAACTTCAAAATACAATGAATGCAAAAATAAACAAATAGAAAAATACCAAAAATTTACGATCAAATCAAATGCCAACCATCTAAGTCAACGTCAGAACGAAACACAACCGTTGACCACAGACGTAAACAACAAACAACGCACGGTCTATAATCTGTCAAAACATACACTGGACGAACCGACAATAAAGGTGTTAGCGAAGGGAATGAACTTCGCATTAACACCGCGAAAAATCCCGTACGAAGAAATTATCTGCAGTGTTGAGGATTGTCTGTTTAAGAATAATATCGGTAAGGAAGATTTGGAGGCTATACGTCAAGATATTTCGTCCTTGTTACGTCGTAGTACAGTGCCGAAACCAAACCTTCCTAAAGACGAATTTACAGCGTTGATTAACTTACGGAACAGACCAGAGTTAACGATTCTCCGCGCGGAAAAAGGAAAAACGCTACGGTAATAATGGACACGTCAGAGTATAGTTTTAAAATACTACAGCTTTTATCGGATGAAAGTACATATAAAAAGGTCAAAACAGACCCCACAACTAGCGATTTAATAAAGAAATACTCCGAAAAATTAAATCTCGACGTGACTTCGCTAATACCATCCTGTACCAAACCACCGAGGTTGTATGGGTTGCCGAAGATACACAAACCAAACGCTCCACTACGTCCTATAGTGAGCCAGATCGATTCACCAACTTGTAAGCTGGCACAACACTTGGCAAAAATACTGGCACCACTGAGAGGACATACCAGAGCACACACAAAGGATTCATACCATTTTGTTAGTGAGATAAAAGACCTACATCTCGCTGACAATGAAACTATGGTCAGTTTTGATGTTCAGTCACTATTCACATGCCTACCTATTGAAGACTGCATCTCAATTGTAACTAGGAATCTAGAAGATAACAACATGCCTACTGAATATGCAGTATTACTCAAACATTGCCTCACATCTGGCTATCTATTGTGGAAGGAAGAGTTCTACAAGCAAGTAGATGGTGTGGCGATGGGCTCACCTGTATCTCCCATAGTCGCCGACATATTCATGGAGGACTTCGAGGAGAAAGCCCTTCTTACTGCTCCTGTAAATCCAAGATTCTACAAGCGGTACGTAGACGACACTTTCACAATTTTACCATCTGACAAAGGAACTGCATTTTAGACCACCTTAAACGGAGGCAAATAATTCTTTAGCTTTCCTAGATGTTTTAGTCATTCGAAATCCTGATAACACTATTGATCAAACTGTGTATAGAAAAAAGACCCATACCAACCGATATTTAAATGGTGAATCTCACCATCATCCTTCACAGTTAACTACCGTGGGTAAATCTTTGTTTCAGAGAGCACGAGGGATCTGTGACAGAAAACATCTGGCCGCCGAACTTCAGCATGTCAAGCAAGTGTTGCAAGACAACAAGCTTCGGATCCCGCGCCTACGTCACAGTGACCGAGTGAAGCTGGCCACAGTCGAGCGTGTGCCTGCTGTACTACCAATGTCAGAGGAGTCACAGACAAGGTTGGCTACATCTTGAAGCGAGCTTCCATTAAAACATACTACAAGCCGCCGAAGAAGATTAGTCAATTTTTACCATCCGCCAAGTGTAATATCCCTCTACAAGATGCAGGAGTGTACAAGTTAGATTGTGAATGTGGTCTCTCTTACATAGGTCAAACAAAAAGATTCATAAAAACCCGCGTGAAAGAACATATAGCTGACGTGAAGCACCGACGCTCCGGGAAGTCTGCAGTCTGTGAACATGTTCAGGATCGTCCCCACCATTACATCAGATTTGATAAACCACAAGTCCTCGCAAAAGAACACCGATTCCTACCAAGGATGATACGTGAGGCTATTGAAATTAAAAAACATCCTAATTTCAATAGAGAAGATGGTTGGGTGCTACCATCTGCTTGGGATCCTATAATTAACAAAATTAAACCCAAACCCAAGCATACCACTGCAAGACTTCAAGATACTGTAATTTCTTTTTGCGTAAATCGGACCAAAAATTAATATTCAAAAACTGAAGGTAGCCGGGCTAACAATGACATTGGGACGTCAAACATCTCAGTCCCCCCCGTGACCATGGGTGCTGTAAAGCACCCGAAACGTCGGGATAATAATAAAAATAAATTAAAGTAATTAAACGCGATAAAATCCGTAAATAATAGTTTTATTCAACACTACAAATTTTATTTTAATACATATTTATTTGTAAATAGCGTGCAATTTGGCATTTACTAAATAATTTGCATGCGAAATTTGGAAACGATTTTAACGTCAAAACACATCTCGTGTTGACATTTATACCTGTGAATTGACGTGTTAGTGACATTTTAGTGGCGACACGGGGTTCGCCCTCTCCCCCGTTCTATTATGTATGTATTATAGTATTCTATGATTCTTTTTTATAACACCCTGGTCAAAGCTGTCAAAGCAATGTCTGTTATTCGTTTTTGTTTGATTCTTTTATTTTTGCCGGGAGTTCGGAAGAC